AAATTTTATAATAAAAAATAAAAAATAAAATTTACTAACCTTAAATTTGATTGGCTGCTATATATAGGGTCACCATGATGATGGGTCTCCATAAAAAATTTAACATTTTTTTTTTATATTTATCTTTTTATTTAACATTTATTAACTTTTTTCTAATTATTATAGGATATTGAATTAGAAAACAGTCCAACATATGAGAAATCACCACGAAAGTCGCCTTACAAAATTACTGGTTTTTCAATTCCTTCAAAGCGTTTATTCGAACGTACAAATAATGGTAATTGGTATCTAATTCTCATGTAAAATATAAACTATAATTTCTAAATAGTTTTGATATAGGTATAAGGTTGGCCGACAAAGATTGTCTCATATTCCAGAAGGCAATGCAATACGCAATGAGTAGCCTTGAGCTGGCTTGTGAAACTAAAAATGCAATGTCTTGTGTTGAAGAATCAATACAGAATCTTATACAAATTATAACTGGCACCAATGACGATAATGACGATGTGACAATGCCTGGAGTATTTACAAAGCAAAAGAAAATTAAAAAATAGTTTTTGATAAATATGTAGTTTTTTTTTTTATGTCTTATATATTATTTTTAAATGGTTTAATCTAGAAAGTTTTTTTAAAATAGGATAATGTTGCCAATGCGATGTTCGAGTTGCTTGAGATTGATAAAAATGCAAGTGATCTAGTAATGAAAAATATGTGTTATGACAAGCTTAAAAAGAATTATTATGAAAAAATAATTCAAATTGAAAATTCTCAAGGAGGATGTGATAAATATTGGGAAAATGTTATCAATATGATGTAAAATATCTTAAAATTGTTTAATTTTATTATTGTAAATCTGTTACAAATACTAAAATAATATATTAATGGCTATTAGGCTCACTAACAATATCGTGTGAGATGAGCTAATGATGTACGAAAAATAAAAACAATGATGGTCAATGTTCTTGGCAAGATAGCTATAGGTGATATTTCTGGGCAGAAGGCTTCTAAGAAAGAAATATTAACATGGAAAACAAGTCTGGCAATGTTAGAAGCAAAATCTAAACTATGGGTGCCAGTTGATCTATCAGAAGATGCTGACCTTTGTGACACATATATATATCGTATTATAACTGAAGTATTTAGAGGTCGCTGTTTAAAGCTCAATCAAGAATTTGCTATTGCAGTAATTAATATGATGTTTAAACCTACAATCACAACTACCTCTCTTACTGATAGAGAAATTCATTCTCGCATAGAAGCCCGATCTAAACAAATTAATAATATACAACCAGTGTTGTCAATTGGACTGGACTAGTTCACTGGACTATTTGTTTGGACCAATTAGTCCAATAAAAATTCAAGTTACTGGACTTAAGATATTAGTCCAATAATTTTATCCAATTAGATTTAATCATGTGATAAAGTTTAACTAATCAAATTTTACTAATTGATGTTTAATTAATTTAATTAACGTTTGATTAAAACACGAAAAAAACCTTTTTTACTTTAATCAAAGATGCCAAAACCACATCACTTAACACCTTATATAGAAATTCTCAAAGAAAAAGCAAATGATTATAATTACAAAGCAATTTGCTTGGCATGTATTGAATTTAAAGGAAAAGTATATGCACTCGAAAAAAATTTACAAATACTAAAAAATGTTGTCGCGATTATTTTAAAAAATGTCCTTGGTTTAAGCAAAAATATGAAGAACAAGCAACAAAAATAATTGATGATACTGATAGTGAAAATACAATGCAACGACGATATAAAAGATCTCGTATTACTCATAATGAAGGTAAAATTATTAAATTTTATTTTTTTATATCTATTTAAATAATACTTATAACATATTTTATTTTAGATAATGAATCTGATAGTTTTGATGAATTTAATTCATTATCAAATAATACTTCTGATTCAACTTCTAAAAAATTAAAAGATAGTTCTTTAAATCAGTTTGTTCTTCAACAATACAGAGGTGCTAGTCTTGATAAGTTGTATTACTTAATATTAAAAGCAACTATTTCAAATGATTGGAGTTTTCATTGGGTTGAAAACCCTGATTCTATAGAACTTTTTCAGTTCATTAATTCTGCAATTAAACTACCACCACGAAGAACATTAAGTGGAATAATCTTATCAAATGCATCTAATCATTTGGTTAATGAAATTTAGCAAAAAGCTTAAAATGACATCTATGGTGTAACACTTACAATGGACGGATAGACCAATGTAGTTAATCAGAATATACTTGGAAGTATATTAATTATAAGCGATAAACAAGTATTAGTTTGGCAGGCTCAAGATTGTAGTAGAGATAGAGTCCGAACAAATGATGTAAAACAAAAAATTATGGAAATAGTGCAAAGTATACGAGACAAAAATATTAAAGTAGCTTCAGTTGTTACAGACAGTCATGCATCTTATCAAGCGGCAAGGTAATTTTTTTTAACTCTTTTTATCAGGATGCTATATGGTGTTAGTTGGTAATTTAATTTTTATATAAATATAGCTAATATGTTTAATAATTTAGAAAACAATTACAAATAGAAAATCTGGATATTACTTTTCTTTCATGCTTTGCTCATCAAGCTAATCTTTGCGTGGAAGAAATATTCAAAGAATCACAAACTTATAAAGAAACTGCAAAACAAGCTGTACAAATCGCTATTTATTTTAGAAACAAAAATCATGTTTATTTTGCGGCCAAACTTCGTGATATTCAAATGATTACATATAATAAGCTTCAAACTTTAATTGTACCAGAAGATACCAGATAGTGTAGTTATTTTTATAGCTTCGCAAGTCTTTTACGTGCAAAAGAATCATTAAAGGTAACTATAATATAATTTTAATAATATAATTTTAATAAAAATAAATTTATTTAAGTTAAATTATTTAATTATTTTAGACATTAGTTGCACGTTATGAACCTCGGTCTGTTTATGATAGTAATAAAAATTCTGATTTTTTTGGTCAATCAAGTTTTAATGAAGATATATTAGAACTGCCAATTCGTATTTGTGATTCAGTTAATAGTAATGATTTTTGGAAAAACTGCATATCAATTAAAAAGCTACTTTTGCCATATTGTAGATGTTTAAATATCCTTCAACGTGATGCTGCAAGGTTGTATGATGTATTACATTCATTCGGCTATTTTTATGAAATTCTGTCACAAAATTCAGATTTAGAATTTGGAGAACGTCTTTGTCAACAGCTTGAAAAAAGATGGAAAGAATGGGAACAGCTGATTATTATCTTATCATGGATTTTGCATCTAAATTACCAGTTTGATAAATTTAATCAAGATTTAGCACATTTGAATTGGGTAGATTTTGGTGAATATCTCCTTTATTATTATATTGCATGGACTGGAAAAACACCCTATAAAATTCTTCAAGAATTTGATAACTATCAACAAAAAAAATATCCATTTAATGATAAATCATTTAAACATTTTGATAATGATGTATTTGCTTATTGGGAGTGGTGTTCACATAAAACAAAAGAACTTGGCTTAGTGGTATGTCGAATCATGAGTATGTGTGTTAATGCAGCTTCTGCGGAAAGATTATGGTCTTCAATAGGTTACTTGCATTTAGTAAGACGGAATCAGCTAAAGGTAAATATAAAATTATAAATTAAATAAAATATACATATATTGTAATTATGATATAATTTATTTTTTTAGTATCCGAAGGTATTAGCTATGGCTCAAATTAAAGATGTTATCGATCAAACTCATCGTAATCATGAACTTGATCAAATTAAAAAAATCTATCATGGAAATGCATCAACTTTACTTCATCAAAATCAACAAAACAATCAGGTTAATTTTAGTGAGGTTGAACAAACTAATACTGTTGATAAAAACAGAGAGAATGAAATTGATATATTAGAACTAGATGAAATTGGAATTAATAATGATGAAACGGGGTTTAATAGATTTGAACAGCAATTAGCTTTATGGGAATCAATGCTAGAAGATGAGCGATTTGATGATGATTAGGAAAATGGCGAAGAAAAGTCTGTAGCTGAAGCACTTTCAGACTTAGATATATCACCAGATGTATTTTTGTGTAATCAGAGACATCTTCAGAGAGATGGAAATGCAAAATGGAAACTCTCAGATTTGTTTATTGGTGAACTTGGTGCACCATTTTATATCCGAGAGTTATAAAAAATTCTATTACATAATTCAGTTTTTCAAAATGCTGTAACGGAGATTTGTGCTAAACTATAAGCTTCTATATGTTAATGCATTGACATAATAAATCTGAAAAATCTTTGAGTAATTCTAGTAATTTGTGAGAGTTTTTAATCCAGATATTATTTTTAAAGCTAACGGATTTGTTTTGGCTATTGTTATGAAACAGAATTAATTTAAAAAAATGATATTTTTTATCAAACCAATAATATAGAATTTAATTATTTCAGTTCGTGAGTATTAAATCGATTGTATAATTTAATTCAACTATTTAAATAATCTATTCCTTGCAAATTTATTTATTGATCTTTATTCATTTCATTTTGTAGTTGTGTGAAAATTGATTCGAACTTTTTATTTTCTCTATTAGCTATCTCTAGTTTAGAAAATTAACTATTTTTTTTAGATTACTGGGTCTAATTAAAATATATTTACCGTTAAATATAAATTTGGCAAATATAAAGACTATTATTAAAATTTACATTTAAGTTCGTAACTTACAGTATTAATTTATTTGTTAGTTTCGAGAATCACTTATTGACATTCATATTTAAATCAGCAAAATAGTTATCATCTGTAAGTATAAAATCTATTGTTGCAAGAAAATTAGTCAACTATAATTTTATTAGAAATGTTGTTTTTAAACTCAAATAATTCTCACATTTTTTTTTATTAGAAATAATGAATAGAAATGACAATTAGATAGCTAAGTGAATAATTAATGGAAACAGATTCAAATTATTCCTTAGTATTAAATAACCATAGATTAATATGCTATTATATAGGCAAATATAAAAAATCACTTTCAGGTTTTAATAAATTATTAAAAATTAGACCAATTATCTATTAGACGAATTACTTCACTAAAACACTCTTTTTAATTAAAAAGAAACAATTATAACAAAAGGGATTTTTTTCTTATTTACTTTTAACCAAAAATTTCACCTTGTTAATAACTTAAAATTAATAATAAATAAATTAGTAATGTTGAATCAATAAAAAGACATCAATATTTTACCTTTTTCTTTGGGCACCTCTTAGAAAATATCATAATTTTCCTTCTTCTCAATTTACAAGATAGATATAGGCTGATGTTATATCTGCAGCAAGCAATTATTCGATACGAATGCGTTGTATTGTATATAGTTCAGAATGAGCAAATTTGGAAAATCTTTCGATCAAAACTGTTGCGCTCAATACGAACAGTCCTCTTTCAAATTTGAGATTTTCTATTGTTATCACTCCAAACATCTATCACACTTCTGAGTCTAACACAAAAGCACTTTCTCCAACATCATCTATCATGCTTCTGAATCTAACGCTTCTGAGTCTAACGCAGAGCATTTTCTCCACCAACATCTACCACACTTCTGAATCTAACGCAAAAGCATTTTCTTTACTATCATCTATCACGCTTCTGAATCTAACGCAAGAGCACTTTCTCCACCATCATCTACCATGCTTCTGAATCTAACACAAGAGCACTTTCTCCACCATCATCTACCCGCTTCTGAGTCTAACGCAAGAGCACTTTTTTTCACCATCATCTACCACACTTCTGAGTCTAACGCAAGAGCACTTTCTCCACTACGTTCTGAGTCTAACGCAAGAGCACTTTTTCATCTTCATCAACCATGCTTCTGAGTCTAACACAAGAGCACTTTTTTATCTTCATCAACCATGCTTCTGAGTCTAACATAAGAGCACTTTCTTCACCACGTTCTGAGTCTAACGCAAGGGCACTTTCTCCACCACATTCTGAGTCTAACGCAAGGGCACTTTCTCCTCAGATTTGAAGAAGGTAGCTTTGGAAAAAAATTGATTTTTAATCATATATATTCTTGAAGAAAGCTTACGAGAAAAAGTAAAAAAAAAACATTTGAGTGCTGCGAAAGGAAACTTGTCATCAGGCTTTCAATTATATTTTGTGCTTAGTTTGTTCCCTAAGTGCTGTTTAAGGAAAATCTATCATCGGGTATTCAATTATCGGGTATTCAATTATCATCACAAAAGATAAATTTTCCCTAGATGACACCCACAGAACAGACTGGACACAAAATATAATTGAAAGCCTGATGATAAATTTTCCTTGATAGCACATTCAAATTACTAGGAATGGCAAGTGATTTAAAACAGAATGTTTTAAATCAGTTTTATATTGCTTTAAAGTGATTTTTTTACATGTTT